AGAGAGAGAGAGAGAGAGAGAGGGAGGGAGAGAGACGGAGAGAAAGCGCACGAGGGAGAGCAAATAATGATGGGAAATAATTAATTCCTAATATAAAGGGATATCATTTAATTCCTAAAGTGTATATAATTGGTAAATTTGTATATAGGAGAATAAAATTAAAACTTGAGTAGGAAGGGTAATAAAGTTTCCAATAGTGTATATGTATGTGAAAATCCCATGAATTTATTCTAAAATCTAGAATAATTGAAAAAACTTTTTGAACGGTGGGGCCTCGAGCATTGGAGGGAGACATTGACATTGAGCTTCCAAAATTGTGAAATTAGTAGCCCAAGTATTGCACGAGGAGACAGAACACCTTCTCAAAAACCACACGGCTAAAGGTTTATCCAACAGCTTCCAAAGACTGTTGTTATTAAATAAATCGGATAACACGACAACGAAGCGGGGATAGCTCATTTGGGAGAGCGTCAGACTGAAGATCTAAAGGTCGCGTGTTCGATCCACGCTCACCGCATTTTACCAAATTTCTTATTGGAACCTAATTTTAAATAGTCATTTCACCTTCGTAAAAAACCTTTGTTGTACAGTTGGTCTTTTGTTGTTAGATAACGTTAAGCCCCAGATCAGGAAATTTTATTGAAGCTCAATACTGTAGGCCCAAACTTAGGTCACCAGTAAATGGTTTGATTAGGGAGATGAATATTAGTAGTAACGTCTATATTAAGTGGTCAATTTTATATGATTCAGGGCAACCTTTTTGCTTGGCAGGGTAATATAATTTAGAGAAATTTTCATAAAACACTATCTTTTAGTGGTAATTAGCTATCTATAGATACCATTTGCTATATTACGGATTGTAGATACGTTTTCTGTTGTTATAACATGTATTAGATGTATTTAAGCTACTATATTCATGAATACAGTAGCAAAAATAGGCGTGAATCAGGGAAGTCCAACTAATCAGTTGTTGTATTCGAGTGTATTCGACTGTATTCATGGCGTGAAACATGGGATTACAGCTGGACAGATTATTGTATTCGACTGTATTCGACCGTATTCACGGCGTGAAACATTTGTATTCGACTGTATTCGACCGTATTCACGGCGTGAAACAAGGATTACACTGTTTTTAAACGGAAAGTGAATCAATTAACATAATAGACTCCTAATATAACTCAACAAACTCAATTATAACACACAAATTTTGTATTTCCAGTTATAAAAAAAAGATTCTCAACCTAAAAATACCCCAAAAACATAGCAATCTTCAGAGAAATTATATAATACATCTGAATACATAAATTATATTAATTAAAAAAATATATGAATACATTCATGGCATATAGCGAGACAGTGAATACAATAAAATACATATAATACTGCGCGATACATTAAAATACAATGAAGAAAAGACAATGAATACAATGAAATACATGGAATACAGCGAGATACATTGAATTACAATGAAAAAAAGATAATGAATACAATGAAATACATGAAAATACAGCATGATACGTTGAAAATATATTGAAATATATTAACAGAAAATCAAGTTGCTCAGCCCCAAACTCCGTCGTCTTTGTTCAAGTACAACCCTAATTTCCGGCGAATCCGCCGTCGAGCAAAAACCCTGAATCTCACTGTTCCCACGCATCAAAATTACAAATTCAACATCAAAATTACAGGCCTTATGTCCCTCTTGTCTCTCATCATCCTTTGTTAGCAGTAACTGCAGAAGTCAATCATATCTTCAACTCTGTACAGCAAATCTCCCTCGTCGTCACCATCCATCTAAAAAACCCCAAATCACCAAAGCAAACAACAGGAAAACTTTTTAATCAAATTGAGTAGCAGAAGGAGCAGGATCCCCTGTTACACAGTTGAATTGGACCCGAAAGAAGGAAGAGACAAATGGAGCGGAATTCACAAACTACTAGTTTTTGGGCATCTAAGTTGGCAAATAAAACGTGAACTCCGACAGGAAATGAGAAAGAATCAAGTTAGAAAACGTAATTTTGATGTGAATTTGTTTTGTTGCAGTTTATGTTATGTGGTAGGTGATGTGGGTGAGAGGAATTTTGAGATTGAGCATCGTGTTTTTAGGGAATGGGGGGAGAGAATGACATGTATCAAAGTAGAGAAAGAAAGAAAATAGTGTAACTGAATAGCGTATTTAGTGGCTTAGGGGTAGGAGGTAATCAAAATTAGATGTTTTGCTATAAACATTAAAAGGTATCTATAGAATATAATTTTTTTAAATGGTATTTATTTAAAATAAATAAGGTGTTAACCTTTGCTATAGGAGGTAAAAATTCCTATTTACATTTTAGGGAAAAGGAAAGAGAATTACGCTCTTTGTCACTTGGCCCAACAGTCCATCAAAAAATGGCCCACTTTTCCTTATTTGATATGGCCCAGGTTGTACATATTTTGAAAATTATTTTTCACCAGTTAGCTCACCCTATTTAATTATTTTTTTTCTTTTCTTCGTTCTTCTTCTTCCTCTTTCACGACTTTGCACCCCAAAATTTCTCTACCATTATATATATTCTTCAATTCTCCTTCCAGATTCAAAGTTGATATTCACTATTAAGATGAGAAGATAAAATACACTTAAGAGAATTATTATTTTTGGAGTCACCATTATAGGTCATTCGAAGCTTCAATTTCAGAAATTGGATTTTTCGATTTTGTTAGTTGTTTGGATTGGGTGTTGGCCCAATTGATTGGGATCGTCAAGGGGAGTTCAAAACTCAAATTTGAAGTGATTTGGAGCAGATTTGAGCTAGATTTGAGTTGAATTTAAGAAGGTGCCCTAAGAAGAAGAAGAACCCGCGAAGCTCCATTAATATGATTCATTTGTATAATAATGTATAATATTGTATAAGTAATGTATAAACACCTCTTATACATTATTTTATACAAGGTTGATAAATTATTTACAGGTATTTGGTGAATTTCTCACATTTCTTCTTCTTCTTCTTCTATATACATGGTGTATCACTAACATTTTCACTACTATGCTTATACATCTTTATACACTTTTATACAACTATATATATATAATATACTCCTTTGTATAAAAGTGTATAATACTGTATAAAAGTGTATAAGCATCTCTGACGAACTTTATGTACGATTTTCACTTGCAATTCCCGATTAAAACTATTCCAAATCTCCATTAAATGACTTCAAACTTTGTATACAGTCTACTTAGACTAATTATAATAAGTGTAAATAATACCCATTCCAAATTTCTCACAAAATCATATTCAAAATCTAACAAGATTAGCATTAAAGAAGATGAGGTTTTAGATTTTTCGCGTATGTTTTTGAATTTTCGTAGTCGTGATAGGTATGTAGAAACTTGAGGAAAAAGAAGAATCACTACAAAAAAATAGAATTAGCTACGAACATCGTCGCTAATCTGTCGCTGAAACGCTCGTAGCTAACAGAATTTCTTGATAATCCGTTGCTAATCCGTCGCTAAATGAGATTAGCGACAGATTTTCTATTTAGCTACAAAATTTGTCCGTCGCTAAAACCTGATTTTTTAGTAGTGAATGGAAATGTTTCACGCTTGAAGATATAGAGAATAAAAAAACTTGAAAAAATTCATATCTAAGCTTATTGATATTTCGCTACACATTTGCAAACTTGTAAGTGGGCTAAAATAATGCAAGGTCAACTTATGAAGTGCATTATTATGTAATTTATAAACAATTTAACATATTTTTACAAATTTCAGGAGTTAACATTATAAAATTAAATAGGATGGAGGAAAATGGTTCTCAAAAATAAAATAAAAATTACAATGTCAAAAAGCAAAATATAATTGTTGAAGTGGGATTAACTAGTTACTAATCCTGCGTGAAAAGGAAGATTGTTTTAATAGCATTATTCCTTTTGAGGGACTTCTAGATAGATTTTTGTCGAACTTCTACTTACGTCATTAACTAAAAAGAGTAAAATTTGCTTTACACAGCATAAAGCAATCTTTTTAGGTGAAAAATCCAAGTTTTATTAGCTAAATAAGTTAAAAAATTTGTTTTAGAGTTCACTTTCACTGCTTAAACTTCACATTCACTACTTGTTAAATAAGTGAAGAAATTTGCTTTACGCAGCATAAATGCAAACTCTCGTAGGTCCAAATATAAAAGTTCTATTTGACGATGATGATGAAATGATTCACTTGATGATTCGCATGATCATTACACTTTTTAGTTCATGGGGCTCATCTACCTTTTTATCTTCTTTAGCGGGAAGTACTTTGCTAATAATATATAGTAGGAAAATTAAAGGAGTCTTTCACAATAGAAAATTTCCAATATTTTATATTATTATTTATTGCAACAACAAACCCAATATATTCTTATAGTGTATGCAACCTTATTTCTAGGGGTGGGCCCCGATTCGGCTGTTAGGGGCACCATAATATTCAATATAAATTTATCACTGCTCATAAAAATATGCTAATATCTAACTATTATTTGAAGATATTTGCAAGTATATATAAAGTTTTTGTCCAAGTTTTTGAGTGTCTGTGACCCCTCAACTTATCATGTGCGTCCGCCTATGCTTATTCCTACCTTGTGAGGCTACAAATGTTGTTTTGGGTGGACTCTCTGGATCAAGAAAAGATGACAAAAGAGCAATAATTTTTTCATTATTATTTGCATTTCCTAAAAAATATCTTTCTTTTGATTGGAATCTTGGTTAATTCAAATTCATTCACGTAAGCTTATTTACACACACACAAAAAAAAAAACTATGAAGTTTTTTCTGTCATTCATAAAGGTTCGAATTGAGATCTTTATTAAGGGAGAAATCCTATACAACTCCGATTTAAAAAAAAAAAACCTAAAAAATAGCAAATGTGCATGTGTTGTGTATCAAGAACAACAACTCCTGCTCCCCCGCCACCTACGAATTAAACAAAGCCACGCCCTCTAAAGCCCCAGTTATATCTATACGTGGCACTAAATCATTGGTTAAACCACCTCCCCAACAAGAAAACAAAAAAATTATACACAGAGAAAGATTGTGCGCCCCACAAATCTCATCTGCTGAGGAACTGTATGCACTTCTTCTTCAACTTCTAAAATTTTCTGCAACTATACATACAGCTTTCTGTATCTATACTCAAAACCCTACAAATGGTGAAGTTGTAGACAGAGAAAAGAAAGTGAGCTAAAAGCTTGGGCGAAATGCCCACGTCACCTGAAGAAAACCCTAACCCTAAGGTTAAATTACCGGCGCCGGCGAAGAAACGGCGGTCGAGCTTATCGGATATATGGTACAACAAGGATCCTCAGGCGTTGAAGCAATTAGTGCTTCAAATGCGAGCTCAATGGGTTTCTAATTCAACTACTCCACCTTCTGAGCCCGATTCTGATACTCAAACCCTAACCCTAGACGACCCGGAACCGACCCGTTTCAGCTCTGCTCCGGATTATACTGACTTGCTCTCTGATGAGTTGCTGTTGAGTGTGCTTTCGAAGGTTCCAGAACAGCAGCAGCACATTTCGAATTCATTGGTTTGTAAGCGTTGGTGTAAGCTTAGTGGCAAGTTGGTTAGGTCTATTAAGCTGTTAGATTGGGAATTTTTGGAATCTGGGAGGCTAAGTTATAGATTCCCGGGTTTAATTGACGTCGACGTAGTTCGAACTTGTGTGAAATCAAGGAGGAATTCGGGGATTGTTATGAGTCATAGGCTCGTTTCGTTGCATTTGGATTCGAGCTTTGTCAATGGCGGGTTTGTTAGGAAAGACGGGTTTTTGGGGAAAGAGGTGGTTGATGGAGGGGTTAAGGTTTTAGTTGAGGGTTGTGCTAATTTAAGGAGAATGGTGTTGATGAATGTGAGTGTAGAGGGCCTGAGCTATTTGGGGGAAAAGTGTGAAACTTTGCAGGAGTTGGAATTGCATTTCTGTGATGACTTTGCATTGAAGGGGTTGTTTGGTTGTAGGAATTTGCAGATACTGAAATTGGTTGGTTGCATTGATGGGTTGTATAATTCAATGGTTTCGGATATAGGGTTGACGATTTTGGCTCAAGGGTGTAGACGTTTATTGAAGCTAGAGCTGGTGGGATGCGAAGGAAGTTATGATGGAATCAAAGCCATTGGGCAGTGCTGTCAGATGCTAGAAGAATTGGTACTTTCTGATCATAGGATGGATGGTGGGTGGTTGTCAGCTCTGTCGTATTGTAGCAACTTGAAAACTTTGAAGCTTCATTGTTGTAAGGTTTTGGATTCAAGTCCTGGCCCTGATGAGCACTTGGGTTCCTGTTCTACTCTCGAGGAGCTACATTTAGAGCAGTGTCAATTACGGGACAAGCAAGGTGTGAGAGCATTGTTTCTGGTCTGTGAAACTGTTCGAGAGCTTGTCTTTAGGGACTGTTGGGGATTAGACAACACTATATTTGCCACTGCAAGTGTTTGTCGGTATGAACACATTTTGATTCTGTTTATATATGGTATATGCCAGTACTACTTCTCTAACTTGAACAGATGGTCACCTGATAAATTTAAGATTGACGTATTTTTTTTTAAAATAATGAATGCGTGTAGAGAATGGAAATTTGCTGAATATATAAGGAAAATTTCATCTTTAACAATTGACTGAACAACTTTTTCGGGAGAATCTCTCTGTTTGCAAACACAAATGAGATACATGCATATTCTTATCCAGCCTTTAGAAGAGACTTGTGTAGTCCTTTCTTGATTAAAATTCTGTGTTATTAATCTAAAAGGAGGGCACTAATCAATTTTGAGATGAGATAAATTATCATTATTAAATGCACAAAGTGTTCTATAATCAGTTTGAGAGCTATGATTTCTTTTTATACTATCTTTATTTATATTTATATTTTGGCAGCTTTTCTTTAAAGAAAACAACCTAATGCAGTCAAGTTCTTTTTTTACTGCTGATTTGATAGAGAGCATTTCTTTTTTAAACAGGAATATGCATCTAGCTTGTCCATGAACTTCATAAGTAGAATGATCATGTAATATGTGTTAGCTAACACTGTTCTAAGATTAATGGGAACTTTTTTCTTTTCTAGGAGCTTGAGATTTCTCTCTTTGGAAGGATGCTCCTTGCTCACGACTGAAGGATTAGATTCGGTAGTTCAGTCATGGACAGTGCTTGAAAGGCTTAGGGTAGTCTCATGTAACAATATAAAAGATAGTGAAATAACACCAGAACTAGCAACTTTATTTTCTGTTCTCAAAGAGCTAAAGTGGAGGCCAAATTCTCGGTCTTTCCTGTCATCAGGTCTTGAAGGGACTGGAATTGGGCAGAAAGGTGGTAGATCGTTGCGGAGGAAGTGAAGTGTGGACAAACTGACGTTGAGAAATGGATTCCTTTGTACACCTTGAGAGGTTTAACCGTGCAAATACTATGAAAATGCAAGTAATAACATTTGACGGTTTTGGCATCTGCGCTCTGTTAAAACTCTGAAGATGCGCTCTGTTAAAGCTCTGAAGATGCTTTCATTGATCTTTTGCTGGTTTATAGCCAATTAACCAAATTCTCTTTAGGTTTAGAACACTATTTTTTCTCAGTTTTGTACATGGGTTAGCCTTTTTGTACCAAATACAGTGTTAGCTCTAGCTATGTGTTTTAGATATTCAGTTACTTTTTGAACAACTGGAGTATATTGTGTACGAGATTTTTAAATTTGATAAATGTACTGAATTTCTAGGAATAAAGAAGGGAGTCAAACACATTTTTTGCACTGTTACGTTTCATGTGGCATTGCTACTTCTTTGAATTTCGGCTGTACCTTTTCTTTTCCCCTCATTGACAGAAGTAAGAATTCTGTTTGTATAGGTGCTGGATTGAGTACATACTATGATTTATTATCTCTACATGCAGATTCCCCTTTAGTTGGGTTACCTTTATTTTCTAGACTTCGCATCAGACATGAATGATCTCGCTATGAATCTTTTATTTGTCAACATTCTGATGAAGGTGAAGTATCGCTCTTGTGTAATTTGCTAAGTAATATCTTGTGAAACTACAGAGAAAATTTTGAAAATGGATCTTTGCAGGGGTTTCTTATTTCTTCTGAAATTTTCCTAGTATATGAAAAACACTAATAAAATGGGCCATTTCAAGTTCGAAACTATGCTGCAAAAGGAGGAGAGCCAGAATTGTACTTGATTCTGCTAATCTCAGTCTGTGGTGATCTGAACCTCGTGATGAAGCTGTGGAGATGGGACATGAGGGGTATCACCCTGAGCAGGTACGTTAAGGTTGTGTCTGTATATGATCTTCTGTCAAATGCCGCGGGGTTGTGTCTGTATATGATCTTCTGTCAAATGCTGCAGGTTTCATTGTTTTTCTGCCATCCATCTATTTTTTTGCTTCTCTCCAACAATGATGATTCCCGCACTATTATCCTATGAATAACAGAAAGAGAAGATTAAACAAAAGATAATCTTGCAAGAAATACTACTGCTGTGAGAGTTCCATATTGTGAAGCAGCTACAGAGCTACTTACTCTACCTTAAAGCAAAAAAAAGAAGTGTTGGATGTGCATTTTTAAAGGTAATATTGCATGCAAATTTTTCTTATGCAATGACCAAGGTGATTTTGTAGTCTTACCAGGACCGCTCTTTTCCTCCTTGGTTTTTTCCCAATATCACGCAAATATATCTCTATTGTCACCTTAGAGGATCTCCAAGAAGAATAAAAATCAGTGTATTTTATGCTTCCCACCCCTATATTTAACCCGTGCTGGCCAAAAATCATGACCCGTCTTTCGTTTCCAGTTATTTGATTCTCCCCCCCCCCCCCCCATGACTTTGCGAAGGATTATAGTAATATAGCTCAGTTTTTCCATATCATTCCTGCATTTCAGTGGTATTGTTGTTCCAATTATAATCGAGTAAATGATGCCATGTGAAACCTAAGCAACTGTATGCTCATCTGCTAAAAGGAGTTATGCCAACTGAAAACCCCTGAGGGTCAATCATCAGTGATGAGTGTGTGTGTGTGTGTGTGATGCTTTAGTAAATGTGTATGATCATTCACTAAAATAAGAAGCTACTTCTATTAATTTGCCTCTTGTAGCAGAAGCATTATATACAAGTAGAATGACTACCTCAATTTGTAATATATTGACAGAGAATATTAAAATTCTCTGTTGTAGATATCATTCTAAATATCAATAAACCTGTTCAAGGGTGTGCTGCACATGTTGTTCAAATGATTGTATAGTGTCTTATCATTGCACCTTTTTCCGTAATACGGCTCCTAGCAATATGTTGTGTTTTTCGTGAGTTTTTGAAGCTGCTTTCTTCTTATTTAGTTGCAGGTCATGACATCTGACAAATTATCCAGCTTGAAGAGTTCTTCTTCTTCTCGTCTAGAAACTTCTTATTGGCTTCGTGAATCATAGTGAAGGGCATTGGGCGTCTAAGTAGACTGTTCCGAAACCAGCTTGCTGGTAGCTGGAATTTCTTGCTTTGAGTACCCGGAGGTCACACCAAGTTGGCTTCTTTGGCTTCTACTATTGAAGCTAATTGGGCTTTTGCGTTTTATTAAGAAATGGTTTCAACATTTATAAGGCTCGAGATATCCTCTGTAGGCCATAGATAGAAATTTGCCTTTCAAGGTAAGAGAAAAGCGTCGATTGAAACTATGCAAAGGTTTGATGAGGGTCTGCTATGGTTACAATGTAGAACAGAGTTTGTCATCATCTCTTATTTTGCTGCCTCTCTGCCAGACTCTTTTAATTGTAAGAATAAGGTTAGCAAATTATATCATCTATCTACTGAAGGAAGTTTTGCGCCTTTTAGTGGATTTTGCCTATTAGCTGGATCTGCTGAAGTAGATGTAAATTGTATGGGTCGAGCTCAACCCCTACAATAGAGGGCTAGTTCGACCCCTACATTTGTGGTGGAGGGTTCAAACCCTATCAGTAGCGTAGCATCCCCTTCCCTCACTCTGATGTTTTTAATTTTTTTTTTTAAAAAAGATGTAAATTGTAGACTGATTCTTGCAATTGAAATAGGTTTTCCAAGATGATGGATACATGCGGTGAGCAGAACAGATGGATTTGGTAAGCTCGTGAGCATTTTTTCCAAAAAATAAAAGAGAAGGAAAACGCGCTTGTGCTTGTTGGTTTTGCTATTTTTACGAGTAAAATAAGGGTCGGGGAACTTATTTACATCTATAAATTGTTGCATTTACTTGTCGGAACCATTTGGGGAACTAGATGTTGTTTTCTTCATAGGTGTATATAAATTGTTTTATGGATGCTCAATTATGTGCGGAGAAATTCTTAGAGTAAATGAGGGCAAGCTCTAATTTATTAGAATGAAACTATTCTTTTTATCTTTGAATGTTCAATTTCAAAGGTAAATTTTTTATTTCTGGAAGAGGGACCATACACATACTAAAAGAAAGTAAAAAAAGAAAAGTAGTAGTTTACTTTTCTTCTTCAGTCAGCACTTTTTCTTTCCTGTTTCTTTTTCTTTTGTGGACCTTTTCTTTTAGGTATGAACATATGAGGATGTGTGAATTTACATATCAATTATCAAGCAATTGGTGGTAGGCAGTCTATACTCCACAGGAATATCGTGGACAGAGTGATAAACACCTTAACTTGTTCAACTCCTTAGGGGTCGTTTGGTTTGAATACGGCTTATGCCGGGATAAGTTATGCTGGGAAGAGTTATACTGGTATTATTTTTTATCCACTGTTTGGTATGTTGTATTAAAAATGACAATTGCATAATTTCTAAGAATAAGTATAAGTTATTCCGGCACTAATTACCTCCACCCTCTACAAGGTATAATTTATTCCGGTACTAATTTTAATCTCGAGATAACTTATACCAGGTTTGCTAACCAAACAAAGTATTAAGGTGGTATCAAATTTTAATACTAGCACTATACCTTCTTATACCAAACGACAAATGACACCTTAGTCTGTTGAATCTACTTTTTCTAAAATAAAAACTAAAAAATCCTTTTTCAAGCCTACTTGTGTACGGGTTGAATCGGGGGCAACGTTTTCCCCGATTCCCCGGTGTGAGAACGAAGGGTAAGTACGGATCGACGTGGTTATAGTTGAGGTCGTGAATCCCTCATATCAAGACTCCGGAAGAATGAACGATGTGTTGGAGATCGGACACGGTAAGGCGACGTACCTCGGACCAAGTATGGTTTCTGTACCTCGGGAGACACGGTGAACGGTTATGCATGACTAATATTCGCCCTCGATCGGATTTTATGGCGCGAATGCCGTTCCGTGTTCATTATAGATCAACAATTACCGGGAAAACAAGATTTTTACCTTTTTTAGACTTGTACTAGGATTGAAATTCTCGTGCTATATAAATGGGAAGCTTTTCTTTAGTCTGATACATTGTAACTCGTATTTCAAAGCAATAAAAATCTACTTTTGTCTTCTAGCTATTGTTCAAGGCATTACACACTTGTTCTTTTCTACACGCGCGACCGAGCTTGTACCGAGGGTCCGATCGAGGACGAGCTCTACTGTTCAATTAAGATCAGGCTTAGTCATTACATTGCGATTGGTTTGATCGTTTATTTTGTCTTTAATTCATCTATCTGTTATTCTTAATTATTTGTATTGAATTAAACTACGTATCCTTTAAACCGCATACAAATTTAATTGTTACCCATTTTTGGGGTAAACAGTTTGGCGCCCATCGTGGGGCTAAGGATAATAGTGGTGATTTGATATAGATCTCCATATCACACCCTATTTTATGCTTATTCTTTGAAATCTTAAATTCCAAGTTAGCCTAAGAATGTCAAACTCTCAGTCTACACACATGAACGTTGAGGCAAAGTCAAGCTATCACGACGAAATTAACAATGTGGTGCCCAGTAATGATGTGCTTCCTGCCGATCCCAATGGTGTCCCAGCCGTTGACTTGGTTGATGCTAACTCGCAGGTGGCCATCAACATCAATTTGTCAACTCATACCGAAAACAGTATTCGTGGGGGACCCCAGCCAACGGCCCGAGATGCGCTCGAGGATGAAGGTGATGGAGTGAGCCTACGATTGATTTTCGAAATGTTGCAGGCTCAACAAGCGGGAATACCACAACTGCAGAACCAAAGCCACGTCCCTAACAGGGTTGAGCCGAACATTCTTGGAAAAATACTCGGAGAAATGAACAAGTTGCCGTGAGACCAGGTGAAGCCGAGCCCGGAGAAGCTTCAGAGGTAATGAAGATGCTCGAAACATTAACAAAGTAGGTGGAGTCAAGCGAGAAAAAGATTGAGGCCAATGACAAGAAGGTGGAAACATACAACTCTAGGGTCGATCAGATTCTGGGGGCACCTCCGATATTGAAGGGACCAGATTCTAAATTTTTTATCTTGAAGCCCTTCCCCCCCCGAGCGCGGCACCGAAGCCAATTCCAAAGATGCCCGACATTTCCAAGTATAATGGGAGCACAGATCCAAATGAGCACGTGACCTCCTATACATGCGCAATCAAGGGGAACAACTTGGAAGATGACGAAATCGAGTCGGTGCTACTGAAAAAGTTTAGGAAACTCTGTCCAAGGGGGCAATGATATGGTATCACAACTTGCCTCCCAATTCCATTGACTCGTTTGTTATGCTTGTAGATGCCTTCGTAAAGGCCTATGCCGGGGCCATCAAGGTCGAAACCAGGAAGTCAGACCTTTTCAAGGTCAAACAAAGAGATAACGAGATACTAAGGGAGTTCGTGTCAAGATTCCAGATGGAACAGATGGATCTGCCGTCGGTTGCGGATGATTGGGCCGTTCAGGCATTCACTCAGGGGCTCAACCCCCGAAGTTCCATGGCCTCTCAACATCTGAAAAAAATTTTGGTGGAGTACCTAGCGGCTAGCGGTGACCTAGGCTAACGTCCGCAACAGATACCAATCGAAGATTAGGGTCGAAGACGATCAACTAGGGGCCCCTTACGGATCTGCTTACCCCATCCGAACCGATGATAGATCAAAGAGAGTCATTGATCAAGATCCAAGGCCGGTTCGAGATCGGTATCAGTCATACAACGCGGATCATAGGGGAAACAGATTCAGGCATCACCTAACTAGGAACGAGAAGAGACGTGATCGAGGGCCGAGCGGCTAGGGCCTGATGAGCAAGAACGGTTTTGACAGGTCGCTCGAGAGTAGGGAAGCACCAAGATTATCAGAATATAGTTTCAACGTGGACGTTGCAAGTAGCATGTCGGCCATAGGGCGCATCAAAGAGACCAAGTGGCCCCGACCATTGCAATCCAACCTTGCCTAGAGAGATCCTAGTTTGATGTGTAAGTATCACGTCACTCACGGTCATAGGACCCGAGATTGCCGATAGTTAAGAGAAGAAGTTACTCGATTGTTCAACAATGGGCACCTCCGAGAATTCCTAAGCGGGCGAGTCAAAAACCACTTCAGAAATAGGGACGCCAACAAATAGGTCGAATAAGAGGAGCCTCAACACGTGATCAACATGATCATTGGAGGAGTCGAAGTCCCCCAAGGGCCAATGATAAAACGCACCAAGGTGTCTATTACGAGGGAAAACTCACCTAGGATTACGTTCTGGAGGGAGCTATCTCGTTCAGCAATGAAGATGCCGAGGGTATCGTACAACCTCACAATGATGCACTGGTAATATTTGTACTTATCAATAAATCGTGGGTTAAATGTGTGTTGATTGATCCAGGTAGCTCGGCCAACATCATCAGATCAAGGATCGTAGAGCAACTGGGGCTACAGGATCAAATTGTACTAGCGGTCTGGATATTAAATGGGTTCAATATGGTATGTGAGACCACGAAAGGAGAAATAACTTTGTCGGTAAACACTACCGGGACAACCCAAGAAACGAAGTTCTACGTGATCGAAGGGTATATGAGATACAATGCTTTATTCAGAAGGCCATGGGTCCACAACATGAGGGCGGTAACTTCGACCTTATACCAGGCGCTGAAATTTCCCACGCCGGGGGGAGTCACTGATAGCGGCCTCAACCGAACAACGAGGAGCAGATGATGAGGATAATTGCGGTGTCCCGAGATCATTCATAGCTCTCGATGACACCGACGCCACCAAATCAACGGTCGAGGAGTTGGAGAAAGTTATATTAATCGAGCACCTACCGGATCGAAAGGTATACTTGGGCACGAGTTTAACCCTCGAGCTCAGGAAAAAACTTAATAATTTTCTTAAAGCTAATGCCGACTGTTTTGCTTGGTCCCATCTAGACATGATAGGGATCCCGCCGGAGGTAAACACTTACAAGCTGAGTTTGGACCCCAAGTTCCTTGCGGTCAAGAAGAAGAGAAGGCCACAGTCAGAGATCAAACACGCGTTCATCAACGATGAGGTATCCAATCTTCTAAGAATAGGTTACATCCGGGAAGTTAAATACCCAGATTGGTTAGCTAATGTAGTGGTAGTACCTAAAAAGAAAATATACTGAGAATATTTGTAGATTATAAGGACCTAAACAACGTGTCTAAAGGATTCTTTCCCTTACCTAACATCGATCAAATGATCGACGCGACGGCTGGCACGGGATACCCAACTCTCTCGACGCCTACTCTGGGTACAACTAAATTCGGATGGACCCGAACGATCAAGAAAAAACTTCTTTTGTAACAAAGTTCGGCAACTACTGCTATAACATAATGTAGTTCAGATTAAAGAACGCCGGTGTCGCTTACCAACGCCTAGTAAACTAGATGTTCGAAGAACAAATAGGAAAATCAATAAAAGTTTATATTGACGATTTTTTGGTCAAGTCCCTGCGAGCAGAAGACCACTTGAAACATTTGCAGGAAACCTTTGACATATTAAGGAAGTACAACATGAAGCTAAATCGGGAGAAATGTGCATTCGGGGTCGGTTCGGGCAAGTTTCTCGGGTTCATGGTATCCAATCGAGGGATAGAGATCAACATTGATAAAATAAAGGCCATAGAGGACATCACCGTAGTTGACAACGTCAAGGCGGTTCAAAGACTGACTGGGCGGATAACCGCGTTGGGCCGGTTCATCT